TCTTTAATTACATATAACATACATTATAAACAGTGGACTAATTTTTTTCTCCCGCTCATCTGTTTCTTTTTTTTAATGAAAAAAAAGAGCACAGGGCGTTATTAAGTAAAGACAATCTTGCTTGTTTAATTATCATGATTCATTTTTTTCAATTTACGAATACTAAAAAATTATGCTTTTGTTATTAGAAGAAGCAAATTAAAATGTTAATCTAATTGCTGCTCCACAGATTTTCTTCAAACTAAAAATATTTTATTTACTCAATAAAAAATGAAAAACTATATTTCCTGCGTTTTTGATTTGCCCGAAACTTTATCCAGGAAAGACAATCCTGCTAGTTTAATATAGTGGTTAATCTTATTTTTCTTAATAATGCATGTTTAACAAAAATTCATTTCTTTCTTATTCGACGAAGCAAATTAAATTATTAATCTAACTGTTTCATTAAGATATTTCCTTAAAGAATGATTTAACTTTAATTATTTTCAATAAATGAACGGATAATTTTATTTCCTTCCTTGCCGATTTATCGGGATCATTATCTAGAAAGGACAATCCTGCTGATCATGGTTAATCCTAGTTACAAAACTTTCATGTATTTCTTATTAGAAGAAGCAACTTCAAATACTAATTTAATCTTTGTAACAAGAAATTAATTCACGCTAAAGGAAATCAGTCATAATGCTACTAAATAATTGTATGAAAAAATCCTATTTCCTACTTTGCAGGTACGCTTCTTGGTATTTAATACAATGTTTGGGCTATGAGCATCATAACTAATAAAGAACAATATATAATTAATTATAACTAATAAGGAATAAACTTCTATCATCTCTGCAGATTCCTACCAATGTTACTCATGTTTTTCGCTTTATGTGAGAGAAAATTGCATTATATTTTTTTAGTCCAATTTCAATACGCAGTTTTTTTAAAAAAAATAATTGATTTTCTTTCAACTACTGATTTCTTTTAACGATTAAATTCTGCATTAGGTGTGTCACTTTCGTAATAAGCTTCTATCATCACCACAAATTCCTCCAAATGTCACCCATGTGTTTCGTTTCAGATTAGAGAATATTAGATTATTTTCTTTTTTTCCTATTTTAATATAAAGTTTTTTTTAAAAAAATAATTCATTTTTTCTCACCTGCTGAAAGCTGTAAGCAAACAGTAAGAAAAAAAGTATATTGCGTGATAAAACCAATAATGGGCAATCATCCTGCTTATAGCAATTAATTGCAGTATTTGGATCTAGTTATCTTTTTATTTGAATAAATGTGCATGCGCATGATTCCTCATGCATATCATGAAAAATAAATCCCTAATCGTGTCCATACTCATTTGAATATTATGTACAGAAAATTAATACAATACATTTTCCTCTTATGCAATACCCCTTTTGATATGAAATAAAAACCTTTCACTGTTTTACAAAAGTACTGTTTATAACACGCCATGAAGAACATCACGTCATAGGGAAACAAATTTCGTATTTTACAATAAAATTTTTTGTTAATATGTATTTCAAAAAAGTATTTTATTGTACTTTTATGCTTTGAGACATTGTTTCGGTTAGTATGGAATAACTTCCCTAAACACGAATTTTGTTAAAATTTTAGTTATTTATCTTTTTTTTAAACTGGAAACAAAATTTGTGTTTATAGGGTACGGTCGAATGTCAATGTCAATTGTCATTGTATCAAAAACCCTTCAGCACGACATTGGGTGCTGAAGGTTATTACGACATCTGACAGATTATTTTTTACTGAAGTTTTCTTTTTTTTTCTATTATTAAATAGCAAACAAATAAAAGGGAAATTGTCGCGAATACTTTTCAAAACATCTTAAAAATTGTTTCTAATGAAAAAAAGGAGCTAAATTGAGAGAACTCAGCCAGTAAAGATTTTTTTCTGTTATTTTATTACAGACCTAACTATATAAAGATTTATTGTAAGTACCATTGTATGAAATTCAACTTAAATTTAAACAACATATGAATAGTTGTATTCATTTGTATAATTTTTAAGAATCTCTTTCTAGCAAATTTTGTTACTTGTATGTCAGATTAAGCTGGTTTTTTACAATAATAATTTATTACAATAATAATTTATTTGCAATTCTATCCGACTGAGTAAAGGTTGCAAGCAAATTTGGATTTAAGCAGATATTGTTGTAGATTTTCTTCGTAACGTTTACTTCCTCTTCTTCGTCAGCGCAACAATCCGTGCAGACTTTGGCTGCGTCAAAAGCTTACAAACGCCAGCCCCTCCTATCCATGGCAATTCCCTTCCAATTTCAAATCATAAAGGTTTTCAGATCATTTTCGATGTTGTTGAGCCATCTAGTAGGGGGTCTACCTCTAGGAAATGACCCCTCGGGGTTCGAAAAGGTGACGATTCCTTTTGCGTTATTTTCAGGATTTCTCCATATATGTCCCTGCCACCTTAGCCTATCACTGCTGATTATGAGTGTAATTTGGGGCTGCTTATAGAGTCGGTTAAGCTCGAAGTTATATCTTGTTCACCAGCATCCCCTTTCTTGAATCACGGCTATCGGGAAGATGGCTGCGAGGATTTTTCTTTTGAAGGTGCCCAGTGACAGCTGTACATCTGAAATTAGGGTCCAAGTTTTGCTTTCATAAAGCAGCACAAGAAGTAATTATCAATGATTCGTAGAACAATGATAATGACGAACTTCGAAGAGCTGAAACAAGAATTGAAATTCATTCAAAACACAAAAATAATACATTGTTTAAAATACATTATTTGACACAATATAAATTTTCAAACTATTTTTTATGTCTTATAGTTCAACGTACCAATAATCTGGTTAAACGTGGAACCAATTTTTCTGAGTCGGTATAAAGGTTAAGTTTTACTTAACCTTTATACCGACACTTAAGTTTTTTACTTAACTTTTACACTTAACTTTTACACTTAAGTTTTGAGTTCTGTCAACCACTTTATGACTGATTCTTACATCAGAAACATTTTATTTATTTTAATTTTGAAAAATAAAGTAGAATAAAAACTAACTAAAATTATAAAATTTGAGTTAAAACTATGGAAAAAATCAGTAATTTTGCGGAAACTATTTTACTTCCAATTTTTGTATTGTATCTCATCTATTTGAAGATAAAATAATCTTTTTCCCTTTTTTCGTATTTTTTAATCTAAAATACAGAAAGTTAATAATTTTTGCTGTATATTTGGTTGGTTGGTTGTTAATTTACGTCACACTAGAGCTGCACAATGGGCTATTGGCAACGGTCTGGGAAACATCATGGAGGATGATCCGAAGACATGCCATCACAATTTTGATCCTCTGCGGAGGGGATGGCACCCCCGCTTCGGTAGCCCGACGACCTGCGCGCGAAGTCGAGCACTTTACGGTAGCACAGTTTAACGAGGACCAAT